GCTTTTTCAACAAGCGGGACTGACCTAGGGTGAATTTTAAATAGGGAATAATTTTTAAAGATTTTAATAATGACACAGCCATTAATATATTTGGTTTTTAATTGGTTTTATAGGGGAAATGTTTTTTGTGTTGTTTTTTAACATGCTGTGAGCCGCCCTGAGTCCCGTGGGGAGAAGGGCGGCATAGAAGTTAGTGAAAAATTAAAAAATTAAAATTAAAATTAAATTAAATATAAAAGACCAATGTAAGAGATAGTAAACCATTCTGTATAACATCCTGCAAATTCATAGAGAAACACTGATTTCAGGAAAAAAAAACTTTATTGTTGCTTCTAATACTGACTTTCATGCATTATTAAAGTAATGCTGAATCTTCTCTGCCAATCCTATGAAGTGTATACTCATATACAAGTAATCCCCATTTAGCAATCACAACTGTTAAGCGAAATGGTCAGTAAGTGAAATTGCAACTGTGCTTATGATCTTACTTAGCTTTCCTTTGCTTTACAGACCTGCAAAGGTCATGAGTGTAAAAAATGGTCACTAAGTTATAGACATGGTGAATGTCTGTAACACAGAACCACAGATTCCATCACCTCAGCTTTGTGTGTCATGTCAAAGGATCCACTCCTAAAGTAGGCAAGGGTAGAGAATGTTGTGGAAGGGCGCTTCAGGATTTTTGAGGGATTAAAAGAATGATCAAAAGAGTTTTTGCGTGGAGTTAGGTTGCAAACAATGATTTCAACATCTCCAAGTGTTTGGTCCTCGTTTTACACTTGCATGCACAGTGTATGCAAGCCAAAAAACTCACAATTTGGTTTAGAGCAGGGGTATCAAACTGCCGGCCCGCAGGCCAGACACATCACCAGGAAACAGCGCCCACCCCATTGCCAGCAGTGGAGAAAAAGCTCCGATATGTCACGCAATGTCACGTGATGTCGCAAGTTTCACATGTCTGATTTAGAGACTACAAAAGGGATCCTGACATTTCTTGCACGACTGATGTGTATGGAAAGTGCATTTGTTTCCATAACAATATAATACATGTATAACAGTATAATACATGTGCACGCAGCCTCCACATAAATATAAGCTACATTTTTAAATGGAAACTTCTACAGCTAGAAACAAAGGATGCCTTGCCTAGAACCATTTTACTACACACTATTGCATGCACCAGCAAGGCAAGATTCAATTACAGAAAGACACATTTTAATTCAAAAGGAAGGAAGCCATTTTAGTAAGATCTGTGCAAGACTTTAGACACTTGGAACCTACATTCAGAGGGCTTTACAAGCAAATGGACAACTTATAATAAGAATTTTTAAAATTTAAAAACTGACAAACCAAATGACAGTTTTGCTGACCCTGCCCAAAATCCATCAGGAATGGAGAGGACTTTAAATTATTACAAAGTAAACAAAATAGTAATCAACATGTTCTAGAAAACAACTGAAAAATCATTTTATTGTAGCCTATAACTAAAATTTGCTTTTCGATCCAAGTTAAGATTATGACAAATATATCACTGAGCAGGATATTCAAGGAGGTTTCCTTTCTCCCTGTATGTACTTTGGTAGAACACGAACACATCAAATCTGCTAAAAAGAAAACTAGCATCAATATCCCAGATACTGTTTTAAGGCTACATTTAAGACAGAAATACCACATACCTGCCATCCCAAGTCTTGGAAGCTAACATAAAGTTCATGCTTTCTGCAAGCTGTTTTTAGGTCGCTGCTGTTATAATCTGTTAGGAGGTATATATAAAAAACTGTTGGAAATTGTAAATTGATGTAAGTTCTAAAGCAAAGGTAGGCAGTTTTTAATAGGCAAATGTGCACATAGCACATGGAAGACAAAAACCATAACAGCTACTACATAAATGGGGCATTGCTACATACATTATCACTGAGTTCTGCTTTTTTATCACTGAGTTCTGGTAGGGTGACCTGGTGATATCAAACTTCACTCAGATCTATCCTCCTAAATAACCGATATAGCACCAGCACAGGTTAAAAGGGAGAAGCGAGCTGTTATAATCTATCAGAAATCTGCCTCCCCAAAGTAGACATTTGTAGAATGAAAACTGTACACGCAGTCATCAACGTACAACAGTTCTGAAAAAAGTGACTTATCACCATTTTTCACACTTAATGACTGTTGCAGCAGCCCCAGTCACATGACCAAAGTTCAGATGCTTGACAACTATCTCATATTTATGACAGTTGCAGTGTCCTGGGGTTATGTGAATATCTTTTGCAACGTTACAAGCAAAGTCAGTGGGGAAACCATATTCACTGAACAATTGTGTTACCAACTTAACAACTGGAGTGATTCACTTAACAACTGTGGCAAGAAAGATCATAAAATGAGGCAAAATTCAATTAACAAATGTCTCACTTAGCAACAGAAATTTTGAGCTCAATAGTGGTCGTAAGTTGAGGTCTACCTGTATTCCATGGTAGTCAAAAATCAGGGGCCTAGTAGTACCTTTTCAAACTAACAAATTTTATTAAAAGGTATGAGCTTTTGTAAAATACACTCCCTTCTAAATCAGTCTCTGATTTCTCTGTCACTAGGAAATTGAGGTGTTTAGGAGTATTTCTGCTTGGGGTTGAGTTACAGACAATTGTTGGTGTTCTGCTGTCCAAATATCTTCCCTGTTTGTTTTATCCCAGAAAGTATTTCCGTTAGCACAGGCAAATGGTTTATGGAGAAAGCAAGATAATTTAAGGAAGAGAGTTTATTATTTTATTATGCAGCAAAGCCTTTGTGTGGATCAGAACAGAATGTGGAATGCATTAAAGCTAACAAATTTGCCAGAAAGCTTGATTATTATGAGGAATTTTTTAAATAAACAAAAAGCTACTGTGAGACATGAATGTAGAGCAACAAATAGTCCTGAATAGGGAAAGAAGTAAGACAAAGTTATATTGTCTCCATACCTTTTTAAATATATTTTAAGAATATATATTTAAGAATTTTAAGGTGACAGCTGAAATCAAAACTGGAGACTGAAACACTGATAATTTGAGACATATAGCTGACATTAATTCTTTAAATGAATGTTAAGAAACTTAGATGACCTCATTATGAAAGTAAAAAATGAAAAATCTGGGATTATTTGAAATATTAAGATGACACAGATAATGCCATCATGCTTTGTGAATTCTGAGTTGACCAGGAAAACATGAAGATGGTATTTAATTTTGCTGGGCTCAAGAATGAATAATGGAGCGAATGCTGGACAAACAAAGGATTAATCAATACTAGAGATGAAAGTATGACAAATTTACATAAGCTCATGAAGAAAAAGGATATACAACAACAAAGATCACAACAGCCATAGTAATCCCCCCCCCCCGGTAGTAAGATATGAATATGAAAAACTAACCTTCAATAAGACTAAGAGAAAGAAAATGGGTTTCTCCAAATTAAGGATTTTGAGACAATTAAGATTACCATAAGATCCAAAAATGAAATTAATGAAGATTGACTGCTCCTTTGAGGTAATGATTAGGAATCAGACACCCAAATTCTTTACAAAGTGATTCAAGCAGATGATAAACTAGGAAAAAAATAAGTGTGCTTGGCAACATTGAGAATAAATGAAAGATAGAAAATGCCTGAGACAGGCTGAGATGTGAGCATTTGTAGATAAAATCAATGGCAGGATTGACTTGAAGATATGTAACAAACAATAACTCTGGAATAAAATAACCCAGTTTCTAAGTAAGATTTAATCTCCAATCTCCAAAGCACACACAATTATCTAGTTCTTGGTTTTTTAAAAAGCCAGTATAGTGTAATAGTGAAGGTGCAACGGTAAGACTAGAAACAGAAAGACCCAGATTCTCACTTAAGCATGGAAGTTTGGGTGAGTCTGGCTTAGTCACTCACTCTAGTCCTAGAGTGGGAAATTAAAAACATCTATATACCAAACCGCACTGGATTGGTGTGCAGATTAGTCTATAGCTTTCAATGAAGAGGCTTTCATCCTACAATGTATTGATCTGGGCTGATTATTATACACATTCAAGCTTATGTATATTGACCAGTTTGTCTACCTCAGGGCTCTTCAAACTTGGCCCCTTTATGACTTGTGGACTTCAACTCCCAGAATTCCTCAGCCAGCGTGGCTGGCTAAGGAATTCTGGGAATTGAAGTCCACAAGTCATAAAAGGGCCAAGTTTCAAGAGCCCTCATCTACCTAGTAGTCATTCAAGTAGTAGATTCAGATGTGTGTGTGTTTCAACTATATTATCTGAAGTCCATTATTTTTTCAAACTATAGTAAAACAAAACTTGCTAAAAAGCATTGTATATTTTGTATGAAGTAACACAACTTCCTTTCATTACAACAATTCCAGTATTTTTTGTTGATTACATTAATGTTAAGACTATGATCTGAAATAATAAATCAGGCTTTGAATGAAAAAGAAGATCTCTTTTTAAGCCTATAAATAGTTTGTATTTAAAATTAATCAAATCTTATAGAACTTATTGCTACCTAAAACTTACAATTTTGAAATTTATATTACAGCATTGAGAGTTACAATTCTCACTTTTGCTACAGTAACTTTTCTATTTAATCAAAATGACAGTATGATCACAAGACATTAAGCCAAGTTAAAGTTCTGTCATAACTGGGTTGGAATATATATTAAACTAGCTGTACCCGGCCACGTGTTGCTGTGGCTCAGTCTGGTTAAATGGAAAAGAAGTGTGTTGCTTTTACGTCCAACAGATGGCGCTGTTTTTTTTAAAAAAAGCATGTTTTTACCTATCACAGGTGTGACATCTATATAATAGTAGGTATATAAAAACACGTGCGTATTCGAATGCAACGTTGTGTCAAAATTTCAAAGCAATCAGTGAAGAACTTTCAGAGATTTAAGATTTTGAACAAACAAACATTTACATTTTTATTTATATAGATGATCAACTTTTACACCAAAAGCAATCTGAGATTGGTAGGCTTCAAAACTGGTTGTGAATCAACCAGTTGAGCAACTGGTACTTAAAAATAAATATTGCAAAAAGATACTAATGATGATTTCATGTGTATAAAGTTGAAGGGCCAATTAAAATATTAAAATATTTGGGCTATTTTTTTATTGGACATAAATAACTACAGAAGAGAAAGAAAAGGAAAAAATAGATATGAATAAAAAAAATTCTTAAAATGCTCAAAAATGATGTTTAATGAATAAACATAGCCCAGCAGGTATGTAAGAGGTTACCTGTGATACTGGATGTCCTGGAAACATCTTGTGGTTGTGTGGAGCGGTTTCTGCTCTGGTCCTTGCGTCTGCTGGGTGCTGACCTAACAGTCCGAACATGAACTTCACTCACTTTAAAAAAAGCCACCATGAAAGGCTGTTTATCATAAGGGCCATCTCGACCTATTAGTCCTGCTTCTCTAGGGTTTATACTGAGACCTATAAATTAAACCAAAAAAGGTAGTATGTCATATAAAGAGCACAGTGTTTCTGAATAGTTCTTTTGAGCCAAGCAGATGTTTTCATACATGCAACATCTTACTGACCCTCTTTAATTTTCCCCTGCTCGTTCTTTCTATTCAATAGCTATTATCATTATTTAAAAATTATAACATGAAAATGGCAGTTGAATCAAATTTATTTCGCACAGTTCTTTTGTCTTGCATAATGTTTCCTGCATTATTTTTAAAAAAGGCTTGCTAACAACAAATGGAAAGCAATTAAATCACATCATATCAGCCTGGATCTGTTGGACTTGCAAAGGTGGTAATCAATAAACCATAGTTCAGAAACATGAATAGCTGGACTGACGTAGCAGAACTAAGAACAAAACCAATCTGGCTAGGCAGCTAAAAATGGTACGCTTCCCCATCAATTGAAGCTGAAAGGCATTCTACCAACCTGTTTGATTATTAAAGATACATGGCCTATTGCAAAAATGAAATGTAGCATGAGACCCCCACCAGCATTACACAAGTTAAGTACCATAGATTTATCAGATGTACAGCCTTATAGACCAGACATGTCAAACTCGTGACATCAAGTGACATTGCACAACGTATCGGGACAGTTTTGCCATTGCTGGCAATGGGGTGGGCACGGCTTCTGCGTGATGCGTCCGCCCCGTGGGCCGGCAGTTTGACACCCCTGTTATAGACTGATGCAATATTTTACACTGTATCATCACTTCTGGTCTACAACGAAAAGCAGTGTGATTTCTGATCCAGTCAAGAAAACACATTGAAATTTCTATCTGCCTCCCAGGCAATGGTTCAGTTACCCTACATGTAGTAGTCATTCCTAGAAAAAAGTACTTTCAGAGAGTTTTTCAACAACCGCTAACAATATTCACAAGCCAGGAATTCTCAGTATTTCATAACTACAAACATGGGATAAAATAATCAAGAAGCTTTCAATCTGTGCTATTGGATTCAGAGCCAAAGCTATATCGTATCACAGCTGTGTGACTGCATGAGCCAGATAGATAGCTTAATGTTATAAACATAGCTTTCACTTAATGATAAGGTCAGATGTTTAGAATACGTTGGTCTAATACCTACCATCTCTAGTCACCACACTCATCTGGAGTCCCAAATTATGCTGAGGGTTTATGACCCACATGTTGCTAGTAGCAGTGATGTCAAATTCTAGCCATCCTTCTTCTGAGGCCCATACTATTCGGGTGTCCAGCATAAACAAGTTTGAATCTCTGAAAGTAGAAAACAAAGTTTAGGAGTACAAAAAGGACTGCATTAAATACTGAAATCATTAAAGCAATGGAAAAAAAATAATTCCATTGTGTATCACTGTTATTTTATCCAGCCCTTTAATCCTACTTTTATAAGGATTGAACCACTATCACATCTAGACTGAAAAGATTCAGAAGACTAATACTATAGATATAAGTTCAAACTGTTTTCTGACACCTAGTGGTCAACCAGAATTTACAACTGAGATATGGTAGCCAAAAATTATCTTTATTGTAATGGCCTTTCCCAAATGGGTCTCTACATAATGTTTAGGATTATAATTCTTCTAATTTCCCAGTATTGATTATATTATTATGTTATATTATCTCTAACCTTGTGTGTTATTATTACAACAAACCAGGTTAGAGGATATATAATTAGATGTATGCTTTTACAAATTAAGGAAGTAATGTATGAAGCAAGTGTACAGAGCTGGAACAAGACATGGCTACTTTCATGATTCAAAAAGAAATGTTCCATAGGTTATCTTGCATATTGCAAAGCATCTTCAAAAATTTGCACAACTCAACAAATTAATAGATTGTTTCTTCACATTCAGATATACTAAATACACTAAGTGTGGGACATATTCTTCCCATGTTTTATGGGAAATGTTCAAATGTCTGAAACTCATATCCTTATTCTGGAGAGATACAGTCTAAAATTCTATTACCACCTCATTACATGTAATGTGATGGCTTCTCAGTCTTGGCAACTTCTCGATGTGTGGACTTCAACTCCCCAAATTCCCCAACCAGACACTCTTTAGAAGAAGCTTCTTGGATGAGAAGCAAAACGTCTTCAAAGAAAAACAAGAAAGTCCAGTTGCCTCGTGAAAAAGCATCTTTGGGACTCTTTACAGTGCTCTCCAGACTGTGTTCTAAGGAAGTGCTTCAAGATGGCAGCATGCTGCATGATTCCATTCCTAATTCTGACCTCACTTAACTTTTCCTAATTATTTTATATCAAAACCTTATCAATTTTAAGATATGTGGACTAATTCCCAGAATTCCCCAGCAAGCCAAGGATGAGAAACACTGCTTTATATAAGAGGAAAGACTTGTCTTATTATAAACTAGCTGTACCCGGCCACGCGTTGCTGTGGCTCAGTCTGGTTAAATGGAAAAGAAAGAAAAGAGAAAGTGCACGTTTGTAATATGTTTAATTTCACAATGCTTTTGAGTATACAATATTTTTTGTTGTTCCATTGTCTGTGCAGATATAGAGATTGTCTGGTTTGCCGACTCTAGAACACGCAACATATAATTGTCCATGTGAGAAGCAATCCGTGTCTAGATCTAAACCGCACAATTCTAAAGATTGGCCCTGAGCTTTGTTGATGGTGATTGCAAACGCCAATCGAATTGGGAATTGCAATCTC